TTTTCTGTGGGTGTGGGCCAGGAAGGGAAAAAAAGAGCAGTGGCAGCCTGGGGGAAGTTGACATTCCCTAAAAGAGAGGGTGGGCTGGGTTTAAGGGATTTGACAAGCTGGAACTTGGCTTGTATTGTGAGGCACATTTGGGACCTTCTTACAAAACAAGGATCCCTCTGGGTTGCCTGGATATGGGAGTATAGGCTACATGGGATTGATTTCTGGGCCTCAACTTGTAAAACTGGTTCCTGGATTTTGCTGAAGGTGCTCAAAACAAGGGATTTGATTCAACATAAGTTGACTGTTCAAGATGGAGAGGGGTTCTGGAAGGGGAAGCTTTTGAAGAAGTTTTCCACCAAGCAGATATGGGATGACCTTAGGCCTCATATCAATGCAGTTCCTTGGTTCAAACTGGTCTGGAAAGCTCCTATCATTCCTCAAAATAAGTTTATAAGTTGGCTGATCATCAAACAGTTCATTTCCACTTGTGATAAAATGATTGACTGGGGTTTCCAAGGGGTTACTGCATATGTTTATTGTCAATGCAGAATTGAGACACATAATCATCTGCTTGCAGATCAGTGTTGTAGGTATAAGGAGCATGTTCAAGGAACTTTTATCCAGATTCTGTAAACGAGCTACTTCAAATTCATGGCCTGTTGAACTCAACTGGGCTACTAATACTTTTTCAAAGTCTGATCCTCATGCAAGGGCTGGCAGAGTGATCTGGCAATCTATGATCAGCAACATTTGGAGAGTGAGATGCTCGGCAAGGTTTGGAGGTTCAGTTTTGCCTCTAAGTGAAGTTGTTAAATTAATTAAGGAGGAAGTGCAGGTTGTGTGTGAAGATGTTGAAATGGTTGCTTTCTTTTGAGTGCATCTGATCTTGTTGTTGCTGTAAAATTTTTGGCTCTTTAGGTAGGTTAAAGTTGATTTGAGTTGCTGGTTTTCTTTCCTTAGTGGCAGGGGTGTTGTCACAAAAGTTTCTGGGTTTTTGATGATTAATATAAAGCTATCCATTCATAAAAAAAAGGGTAAGTTGGGCTAATACCACTACAACACCCGAACTATTGATAAAATGCCACTTGTATCCTGTTCTTTTCAAAATTCCATTTCTGTCCTTTCGTATGTACTTTTTTGTCATTTGTGTCCTCCCGATTTCGTTGACCGTTAAAGATAACGGTTGACTAGACGGAGGTCAAACTATTGTTGACTTATGCTGACGTGTTAAAAAATATGATATCCACATAGGCGCCAAGTCACTGCCACATCATTTTTAATTCAAAATTATATTAAAATTATATTTCGAAAATTAAAAATTAAAAAATAAATTCAAGAATATTACTAAACAATATTATAAAAAATCTAAAATTAAACAAAAAAGAAATCAAAATTAAAAAACTTATATCTCCCTCTATCTCGTCGTCTTCTCCCCTCCGCGGTCCTGGGCTCCGGTTTTCCGTCAAGCTCAATACCCCATCCCCTCTGTCTGTACTCCTCCTTGATGGACGCAACTTACAATTTGCACTTTGGCCTCCGATTCTCTCAGCATCGGCATCGGTGATGGGTGCAAATAAAACCCCTTTCTGCAATCGCACAGTCTTTCTGCCAAAAGAAGCTACGACGGATCCGAAGAAAAATAAAACAGATCTGGTTTCATAGTTGTTGTCGCCGCTTCACCTCGTCGCCATCATCTTTCTGTATCCTCTTCTGGGCGTCTCTACTACCGTCGCGCAGATGGAATCTCACGCCAAAATCGATGAGAGGGGAGAACAGGTTCGTTCAAGTGAGCCCCCAAAATCAATGGGCAGATGGAATCCCACGCCAAAATCAACTACTGCTGCTGCATTTTTCGGATTCAAGGAAACTCTTCCCCAGATCGATGGCGATGACCATCCTACTCGAATCCCTGTGAACCCCCACCGGCCACCGACGACCCTCGCCCTTCTCTCCTCCGATTCAACAAAGGGTCTGACTTCCCAGAAGCTAGAGTAGCAGCCTCCACCTCCAATCGATGGCGCAGCCACCAGATCCTCGAAACCCCTTCAACTTGCTACATTCGTGTCAGCTGTGTTGGGGAAGAAAGGAAGGAGCGATGGTGCCGCGGAGCTACTGGTCATCGGAGGGGAGAAGATTGCGGCATTTTTTAGTTGTTGGGGAGAAGATTGCGGGGATTCAGGGAGATTCGGGAGAAGATTGCAGCAGGAAGTCATGGAATGGCAAATATGGCCGCCAATCGGGTAGGGAGCAGGGATGGATGATCTTCGTGTTACCAGCGCTCATCACCTAGAGTCGTCCGGGTTCTATGAAGCAAGGAGAGAAGCACCAACCAATCCATTGAAGATTCCAACTATAGCAGCAATTAGGGATTTGGGGTCTTAGTGATTGGAATTAGAAATTAATTTGACTAGAGTTCCCACTTCCCACTCGTTCCCAAGCCTTTTGTAGAGGGAAATTGGTTTGGAGTCAAAGCTCATCCCACCTCCATCGTCACCATTTTGTTGAGTGTTCATGCTTCAAGGTAGGGAGTGAGAGTGGGATTTCTTAGTATTGGCGGAGGAAGAAGGAGTGGTGGATGTGGTTATCAAGGAGGCGGTGGAGAGGGTGAAGGGGTACCCGAATCTGGGGAGGGGAATGGTGAGCTACGACAGGTCGTGGATGGTTGGAGCGGCGATTGGCACGAGAGCGGGAAGGGTGACCGGAGGGGACGCATCTGTCGCTGAGACGAGATGGGAGAGGGAAGGGGAAAGAGGCTTTATTTTCATTTTTTTTATTTTAATTATTTTTATATCAAATAAAAATTGAATTTATAATTCCAAGTCACATGCCACATTAGATGCTAACTGGTTTTTCTGTTAAATACTAACGGTCAACGCTGGTCGACACTAACGGAATAATAATTCAGGACAGAAATGGAATATTGAAAAGAGTAGGACGCAAGTGGCATTTTGTCGATAGTTCAGGTGTTGTAGTGGTATTAGCCAAAAAAAAAAGAAAGAATTAAACATATTTCACTAATTGAAAAAAATTTAGAATGAAAAGAGATGAAAAGTAACCAAGTAATAAACAAAATATAAAATCTACAACATTCAGTAAAAAATATAGAAAAACAAATATGACTATAAAAGCTACAACATTGTTTAGTTACAACATTCATGGAATAATTCAATTATTAGAACACATAATAATAATTCTAAATAATTATAATGATAATTGATTCTAAAATTTCTATTCAAAAATTAGTTTGGTATCAAATATTCAAAAGAGAATTCTAACTAAACAATAAAAAATGATTTTTTTCATAAGTCCAAATGATTTTTTTACAATAAGAAAAGTAGAAGGACCAATTATGAAATTTAGAAAACAGAATATTCCAAGAATATTCTGTCAACTTTAACGGAATGCACTTAACCGTAAACTTAAGTGGTACCGGATGCACATATAGAGTTCAGTGGTACCGGATGTACATATAATAGAGTTCAGTGGTACCCGATACCCTATTCAAACTTAAGTAGTATGCATACCCCAATTCTCAAACTTAAGTGACACCCGAAGTATTTTACCCGCTAATTAACAGATAGTTAGACGAAGGGATATACTTGTTATGTTTTGATATTAGAAGGATATGTTTGTGCAAAAATTTAGTAGAAGAGTATGTCTGATAATTTGTAATAGTAAAGAGATAAAAATGCTATTAACTCTAATAAATAATTTGTAATAGTAAAGAGATAAAAATGCTATTAACGCTAATAAATAATAATCTGATTAGTAAAATTTCATCCCAGCTTTTTATCATAAAAGTCTCTCCAGTTCAGTTCCAACTTCCAACTCATTTTGATCTTAACTTATCTTCCCTGTCGCCATCGTCTATCAACTTTCAGCCGACTCTCTCTCTAACTTTAATTCAAAATTTTCCTCTCATCTCTCTGTACTTTTCCCCTGCTCTGAAGCTTCCCAGGGCTGCCGCCGGCATCTCTTGGTGACCGGCGGTAGCCCATCCCCTTTTCTCTCTTCCTGCTACTTTTTTTGCTTCCCTGTCTTTGTTTCTGATGATTTTCACTTTGTTTTTCCAACTTTCAAGCTTTTCAAGCCATTCTTGGCATTTCGCTCCCTTGTTCTAGGGTTTTTTGCTGGGATTTGCTCTCCTTTGGGGCTGAGTTATGCATCTTGGGTCTTCTCTCATGATGGTCGGTTTAACAGCTTATGTGGTGAATCGATTCTCTGGTTTTCCCCTTCGTTCTTCCCAGGTGGTTGTTCTACATCGTGGTGGCCGACGGAGGATGGATTGTAGTGTCTAGCCTTGCTGCTCGTGGGTTCAGTTCTTTGATCGGGGGATCTGGGTTCTTCTGCTTCCCTTGACCAAGTCTTGGAGCCTCGTCTTCCCCTGCCTCTTCAGCTCGGAGCATTTCGATCCTCATCTCTGTCCACCGCCATGTAATCTCTCACCCGTGATTCACTGTGTTGAGCGTCTTCGAGCGACTCCCAGGAGGCGGCTAATGACATTGTGTTCAATCGTCATGGACTCGATCGGATTGGACGAGCTGATTGCGCTTGGTGCTACTTCGTTTGTTTTGATTGCAAGAGAGTTTTCGGTGTATACTGTTTTTGGTTCAAGTGTTTCAGATCCTTTGTTGGATGGCTCTTTCTGGGTTTTGTGCTCTTCTTGCTGTATCTCTGAAGCGTTGATTGAGCATCTATGTGTTTTTGTTTCTCTGTTCTTGTTCTATTTTTGGTTTGCTTTATTGGTTCTCTTGTAATAGATCATTCAAAGTGCAATGCAAGTATCCTTTGTCAGAAAAAAAAAAAAAAAATCTCAACTTAGGTTGGATAGATTCCCAAACAATATCAAAGACGACGCCCCTCAGTCGTAATTCTCTACAAAATGGTACCCACTTGTATACTTGTCAGTTGTCACTCCCTCTCTCTCTCTCTAGGGGAATAGATTAAAAAAACCAAAAGAAAAAAAGGCAGAGAAAGTACAGCAAAAAGAATTCAAAATTAAAATATAAAAAGGCAAATTTGCAGAGCAAACAAATGAGAGAAAAAAAACACGCAGAGGGAGCGAGCGTACAGAGGAAAGAGAGAGTGAAGAAGGAAAGATCTGAGTTTAAAGGAAGAAGGAGCGAGTCAGAGCCCCCGAGTTAGGTCACATCGGCCACCCCGTATCGTCCATGACTCGGTATTGCTGCTGTCGGTGTTAATTTCACCCCAGGGCGAGCGCCAGCCTAATCAGTCTGTCTTTCTTTCTTTGCAACACCAAAATTATAGAGAGAGAGAACAGATCCTAACTCCGTCGGCGGCTCCGCTGCTTCGCGCTCTATCTTCCAGTCCTCGCCCCATCACTCGTCCTTGTCAAAGCATCCAAGTGGCAGCAGCTGATCGGCGGGTCCGTTTTTTCGCTTTCTAAGCATTTGTCTCTTTTTTTTTTTGTGCTTCAAAATGTGATGTGGAATTGTTCTTCCCTTGTTTGGTTTCTCGAAAAAAAAATTAGTCTATCTTCCCCCAAAACGGTTAATTCTTAAGTTCTTTCCCTTTCTAAAACCGTCCGGAATGAGTGCTGCGATGTTGCAGTTCGTTAGGTGGCAGTTACTTGATTGGTAGAGTACCAGTCAAATGCTTGTTTCTTCTTCTGGATTTACTTCCTTCTTTGTCGTTTTCGTCCTCTTTTCCCCCCCTCCTTTTCTCCGCATTTTCATAACTTTGCATAAGGATTGTTTCCAAGTTAATTGGCCGCCGTCTTCAACATTTTTTCTCTCAATATGTATGGCAATTACTCTGCAATCTCTTTTCTCGGGTTCGATGTGCGTTTAGCTCAATTTGTTTGCACTTTTCTTCTCAGATTTACGCTTTGATGGTGGTTTGACCAGAGCATCGATGGGGATACAGGTTAGTTGGCTGAAGTAGAATTGGAGTTTGGAGGCTGAGAAAGTTGAATAATTTACGTTTTCGGTGCTTTTCCTTATTGGGTTTTGCTCCAATTCTGAATTTTTGTTTTCGTTTTGATTCTTTAGGGGTTTCCACGTTGGTTGTAGCAGAAGACTACTGATTCAGATAAACCCTAATTTTCCAAAAAGGTGTACATTGTGGGGCGAGGTAAAGAATTCATGGACCAGAATTTGTAGGATAGAGATAGAGGAAACTTGAAGGACCGAGTTATTATGATGGAAGACTTCTCCAAGTATTCTCACAGCCCTGCTCACTTGGCAGTCGCACGCCGTGATTATGCTGGCCTTCGAAGCATTATCTCTAACCTCCCTCGCCTTGCCAAGGCTGGAGAAGTTACTAATGAAGAACAGTCAGTTGCTGCTGAACGAGAAGCTGATGCTCTGTCGGCTATCATTGATCGCCGGGATGTCCCTGGTCGCGAGACTCCTCTACATCTCGCTGTTAAATTGAGGGACCAAATCTCTGCAGAGATCCTAATGGCAGCAGGAGCAGATTGGAGTCTGCAGAATGAGAATGGCTGGAGTGCCCTTCAAGAAGCAGTGTGCACAAGGGAGGAAGCAATTGCTATGACAATTGCCCGTCACTATCAGCCGCTCGCCTGGGCAAAGTGGTGCCGTAGGCTCCCTCGTATTGTCGCTTCGGCAGCTCGTATTCGTGATTTCTATATGGAGATTACGTTTCATTTCGAGAGTTCTGTCATTCCCTTTATTGGCCGTATTGCTCCGTCAGATACTTATCGTATTTGGAAACGCGGAGCTAATCTTCGTGCCGACATGACACTTGCTGGTTTTGATGGGTTCCGGATTCAAAGATCGGACCAGACGTTTCTTTTCTTGGGAGAGGGTTATTCTGCAGAGGATGGTGGTGGAATGTCTTTACTACCAGGTTCACTGATTGTTCTTGCACATAAGGAGAAAGAGATTACTAACGCATTGGAAGGAGCAGGTGCGCAACCAACTGAAGCAGAAGTTGCACATGAAGTTGCTCTCATGTCGGAAACCAATATGTATAGGCCGGGGATTGATGTGACACAGGCCGAGCTAGTTCCTCATTTGAATTGGAGACGGCAGGAAAGAACCGAGATGGTTGGGAACTGGAAGGCCAAGGTTTATGATATGCTTAATGTGATGGTAAGTGTGAAGTCGAGGCGAGTTCCTGGTGCCATGACTGACGAGGAACTTTTCTCTGTAGACGATGAAGAAAGATTAGCAAATGGAAGGGATCAGGATGATTTTGATGATGTATTGACACCTGAAGAGAGAAAACAGTTAGACTCTGCACTTCGTATGGGAAATTCTGATGGTTTAGGAGAGGAGGAAGAAGCTGGGGGTGTTGTTGAGTACCAAGAAAATGGTTCCGCAGGGCCATGTCAAAACGGTGAATCGAATGCTACGACTAAGGATAAAAAGAGTTGGTTTGGTTGGAAAAATAAAGGTGGAAAACACAACAATGATGACTCTGAAGATCCAAAAATGGGGAAGAAGTATTCGAAGTTTAGACCGGAAGGTGGCAATCAGAAATATGGTGATCACCAAAATTCATCATCTGAATCTGGTCGGGATGATGGTACAGGAGATGCGAGGAAGGGAAAGGATAAAAGTGGCAAGAAGAAAATAAAGAAAGGACCGGGTAGTGAGTCTAAGAATGAAAGCGAGTATAAAAAGGGTTTGCGTCCTGTATTGTGGCTGACACCTGATTTCCCCTTGCAAACGGATGAGCTCCTGCCTTTGCTTGACATATTAGCCAACAAGGTTAAAGCTATTAGGAGACTCAGGGAGCTTTTGACTACTAAACTTCCTTCTGGAACATTTCCTGTCAAGGTACACTGGAATAGCTTCTTCTGTTATTATTCTTTGTTCAAATCTGACATTTGCTGATTTCCATTCTTCTGGAACCATGCATTGTGATATTTGTTTGCTTGCAAATCAGCAGCCTGTTGGCTTGTCTCTGGAAACAAGCTCGTTTTGTTGAATGTGGGATGTCTTTAATTCACCTGTCTGTTTTGGTCTTTCCCAAGTAGAATGGCTCCGACCTCATTTGTAGTTCAGGTGCTTGGTGTCTTGTTGATATCTGAAGTGAAATATTGTACAATGGTGCCCACTTTTGTTTCTGAATGATCGTTTGGATAATTTAAGCTAGGTGCATGCCTTTATTCATTTTCGGGCACACTTGTTTCGCATCTTTAAAGTAACCACCTGGTAGTCTAGTTATCTAATTTCTCTTGCTGAATTAGCTTTGCTCAACTCGTTATCCAGACCCCACTGAAATTTAACCGTGAATTATGCCATTTTCAACTGCATACTAATATCTTGTGCCACCTCTTAGGACATGGGAATTTGGTTACTGAGTTGGGATTTTTTACTTTGAACATGCAACATGCTTTTGAAACGTATTATACGCTACTATAGATGAACCTTCCGGCTGTATGCTGTTTCTGTGAAAGTACTTGGTAGCAACCAGTTCAACCTGCAAGCCTTTTGAAGGGTTATTTCTCTTGCAGCTAAGGGAACTTGAGAAGGACTCCAAGTTGAGACATGGCTATCAATTTTTGGGTAGCTTCAGTTCTAGTTCATTCCCACCATACTCATGTTCTGCTAATTTAAAAACATACTGACATTGGTTTTATTACGAATCGTCCATCATTTGAAACTTCAAGAATGAATTATCTGATATAGAGCAGAGTTTGTCGTTGTGTCAAATCCAACACAAGGCCTAGGTGCCCAAGATACAGACTTAACTTGCAAGAGTTTTTGCATGCTTTCCATTAGAAATCTAAGTAAGTTACAAAGCAGTATTGTGGAGGTTAAGTAAATGAGTAGACCACCTTTGATAAGATTAGGTAACTGGCAAAAGTTCGATTTAATTATCGATCCCATCTGTTATTGCAGTTGCTGCTGCTTGTAGCAATAGGATACTAAGCTTGAGTTTTGTATTGCTTGCAATAGGATACTAAGCTTGTAGCAATAGGATACTATCCATTAGAAAGCTAGTTGATGCAACTGTTGGACCTTAGCTTCCTTCCAGTAGCCCATTGGGAAGTGGAATGCTCATGATCTATTGCTTGCGATTGCAGGTAGCCATACCTATTGTTCCAACTATAAGGGTGATTGTCACATTCACAAAGTTTGAGGAGCTTCGGCCAGTGGAGGAGTTCTCAACGCCTCTCTCCAGCCCAACACATTTCCAGGATTCAAAATCCAGGGAATTCTCATCGGATAGCGGGTCGACAACTACATCATGGATATCTTCGTGGATGAAAGGTGGGAGTCGAGGAGGGCAATCGAGTGATAGTGACAGCCATCGGTTCAAAGATGAGTTTGACCCCTTCCATATACCATCAGACTATAAGTGGGTTGATGCCAACGAGAAGAAGCGGCGGATGAAAGCTAGGAAAGCCAAGACCAAGAAACATCATAGGAAGCAACACCAGCAGGCAGCAAGACCCGGCGTTGGAGGAGGGGATAGTGGCGGGGCACATAATCACAGTGAACATGCTGAAGACTAATGACAAAGAGAAGCATTCATCTGAGTGTTCGGCCTCTTCAGAGTGCATGCAGAAAAGGGAGGAGGCAAGGCCCTTCTTTACTGAGAGGCATGGCATAATCTCCGACGGGTTTGATCATTGCGTCTTCTTGTGAATCGTCAGGAGATTGATTTATGAATATATTGGTTGGTTAGGTTGAGTTTTACTCTTTTGATGGGTTGATTATGAAGCTCCCCATATGCTGTATGTGTTATGTGAAAATTTGCAGAGGGTGTCGGAGGGGATCCTGATCCTCTTGTTCGTCCTGTCTTTATCTCTCTCTCTCTCTCTCTCTCTCTCTGCCCCACTGTCTCAGCCTAATAGTTTGTTCTTTGGTTGGTTTCCTTCATCATTTGTTTGTGGATTAACCCAATTGTACCCAAGTTCTTTGTTATCGAGTTAACAAGCAGATTTTCTGGTTGGGCATTTTTAACCCCGCCTCCCGTCCTGTCTCCGACTCCGATGCTTGCTTTTTGGAAGACTGTTTTACTCGCTCGGACACTTGTTTCTTACTGGTTACGGGTGGGCTTATTGCTCGATCACCAATTCACCATAATCAATTTTAAACCTCCACAAGCCTATACCATTCTCGTGAAGGGAGGTGTTGCATTTTCATACTCATTTGTGCTGTTTTAGAATGGTTTGTGAACCAGTACCAGACTGCTGGAAAAAGTACTAAAATCATGATTCAACTATTTTATATCATGAAAATTGAAATTATTTATCATTTTTGGTTCGATACTCGATCGATATTTATGGCTTAACCGAACAGTAGGGTACTTTATTTAGAACATTGGTTTTCAGTGGTTTCCACTGATTTTGATAGTTTTGGTTATCAATTAAGGTTTGAACTATGTAAACCAATTCTTTGGTGCTCAAAAGCATATAGATTTTGTGTTCGAAATTAAATGGACCTCACTTAACCTAAACATCGAGAAGCATACGCCTAAGTACATTCATTCAAACAGCCATTCCTTAACTCTTGTACCAATGCTTAAACCAAAGATAGGTCTTCAAATCATCTCATTTTTAAAACGCGAGATTGCTTCAATAAGAATTAGGGACGCGGTCGCATTTAGATTTTAGACTAGGGGTGGGAAACGGTCCGGTCCGATTAAAATTGGACCAGATTAATCTAGTTTTTTCCAAGCGTATTGGCCAATACAACAACCAAAGATGGGATTGGATTGCATCCAGTTTTGACCAAAACTGGACTGGATTGAAGCCGGTCCAATCCGGTTTGGACCCAAAACCCGGAATTAAACAAAGGCAAAATACAGTTGTATGTCCACAACTATCACGGTTGTGACAAATATATCCACAACTATCGAAATACACGAAATATCCATTTTCGTCCACTCCGTTAACTTCGTCAGTTAACTTGATGACTGGACAGATGATGAATGTTTAGTTGGCGTGTTTCTGACCCACTGAATGATGTGGATTGAAAGAGAAAAAAAATGACACGTAAATTACAAATCATATATACTTAAAAATATTTAATAAAATATTAAATAATTACAAAAAAACTTTGCAGGGGAGACTCTACGCCTTTCCCCAACCCACTCCGACTAAAGCTCCAGACCACAGAATTGGCGAAGCATTGGGGAAACGTTTGGACAGTTCTCTTGACTCTGTGTCGGGTAACGAAATATCTAGTCGGAGCTCTTCTCCCTCTCCTTCCAATCTCTCTTCCTCACTCCCGCCGATTGACGACTGGGGATTAGGGATCTGGATCGGCGACTGGAGAAGAAGAACCAATCTCGTTCTTCTCTCACCAAGATTAGGGGAACCCTATCTATCCATCCCCAAATCAAATCTTCAATAACAGGTAACAGCTCCAGATCTCGCACGAATAGAGAGAGAAGGGAGCTTCTTATTTTTGTTTCTTACTCACCAGCTGCCGCTGTCGAACAGACTTACCCAGAAGGAACCCACTTTGTCTTCCCCTGGTTTCAAGTCCCGATTATCTATGACGTCTGGGCGCGTCCTCATCTGCTTCAAGTACTGAAAACAGCCGAAAACAGAGAGTAGGAACATTTGGGTAAAGATCAGCAGTTAGAATACAAAAGCTTAGATGACTCCATTTTGATTCGATTTTCTTGACAATAATGTGGGCAAAATTGGCCACTAGCTCTACTTCCTTCTTCTCATCTTTCTTCTTCGGGTTATCTCACACATATCATACCCCGGTGAGGACCTTTGTTGCCCATCCGTTTCTTCCTTTGACTTGAACTCTATGCATGGTTAGTTGTACTTGATGAGTGATCTTGTTGAGACAAGGTGAGAACTTTTCATTTGCCCGTTTCTAGTAGTCTCGAATGTCGTTTGTGGTGGATGTCGGTATTGCTTGCAACGGTCCTTGTGTTAATTGCCAATAGCCACTTGAGATTTGCCACTTTGTGCCCTTTGATTTATCCCCAAAGCATTTTGTTAGGTTGAGAGATTACCTTGTGTGAAATGGTTTGCTTGGGTACAAGCAAATGTCTAAGTGTGGGGGAGTGATTCGGGCCTAATTGTACAACTTTTACCCCCGTTTCCACATGACATTTGAGACATTTGAAATCCTAAAAGGTCGGTTTTACGCTAGGTTTCGTGTGTTTCAGTGTGTTCGAGATCCTAACAGGTGAAACCAACCCCGGAGTTGAAAGTTGGAAGAAATGGATCAAAGAACAGGCAAAGAGGAGGAATCAGCTGCACTTCACAGCCTGACATTGGAGTTCACGGTCTTTAAGGTCATGAACTGGAGCTACAAACTGTGAACAACGAGGTGTCCGGAGGGTTCTAGAGGTTACTGACGACCGGCCAGTTCACGGTCTCTAAGACCGTGAACTTTGAGTGAAAACCGTGAACCCTTGAGAGTGAAGCGGTGCTTTTTGTTGACGACACTGAGTTCAGGAACGCGTTTAGGTGTTCACGGCCGTGAACTAGAAGGACGTGAACTCAGCTCGATCTGGGTTTAAGTGTGAAGCTGGAAGGAAGAAAAAAGGGGAGAGAGACCTAGAGTTTCATATTTTAGAGTGAGAAAGTGACGAACCAAGGAAGAGGAAAAGCTAGGGTTTGATCTCCATGCAAGGATTTGGGATTTCTACAACACAAGGAGCAAGGCATGCATCTTCATGATGGTTTTCCTTACCCTCTTTTGTGTTTTCCCTTCTCTTAGCATGGAGTAGTCCCTTTCTTTCACTTGGGTGTTTGTAAACCCTAGTTTCAATTATGTAAACACTTGTATGAATTGAATGATTTGTGTGTGGATGTGTATTAATGTGAATGTGGAGGTATTATTCAGAAATGATTGTGTTGTGTGAAAGCCTATCAATCTAATTGCCATTCTAACCTGGTTGAGAGAGAACCCTCCTTGGCTTAGGAGACTGTTAGAGTTGGGGTTTCCTTGGGCATTCTATGCCTCCTATTCTATGTTAGATAAAGGGAAACCCTCCTAATTTGTATTAAGCACTTAGGGTTTGGTTGTGTGTGGCCATCTGAACACCAATTTGAAGTTGGAGTCTAACCACTCCTTAGACGATAAGTTGAGAGGGTCACGTTAGTGGCTTGGATCGCATCCTATTCTTCAACCTAGGGTCTAAGAGGGTAACTTCGGTTGCTTGTTAGACTCCCCTGCAGTTCATGACCCCCCTAACCACACACGGTCGTTCAAGTCATCGAATCATAATTGTTAGCTAGGGGGAGCAACACCCGGGTGAAGCTTTCTCAACTAGAGTCAAATCCATTTTACCTTTGCAAAGTAATTTAGTTTTAAACCTTTGTTTTCACCAAAACTGATTCGCTAGATAATGTTTCAAACTGTCGAAGTAGCGGTACATGAACCGGCCCGGATCGATATTTAAACATACTTGTCCTGTATTGCACCCATCTAAGGTTTATACTTGGACCTTAGGTGGGATTTTATTGTGATGGTCAGGTAGTGGGTCAAGACGATCACCATAGTGGATAAGACCACGGAGGGGTCAACAGATACTGTCACATGTGGCAGATGACATGGAGCCAACAAGGTGACAACATGGAGTTTGCACATGTGGCGTGTATGGAAGACTAGTAACATAGAGATGCTCCCAGGATTCCACCTAAATGAGAGCTTGATGGTGCACTTATGAGTCACATGATGGGTGACATTTATAGAGTGCATAATAAGGGGACTTAATGGATGTATTGATGTAGAGGGACATTATGAGTGACATTGATGCCTTGTATGAGGAGAGGCCTATATAAGGAGTCATCTCCCTCACTTGTAACTCATTCCATCATTTTTTAGAGTAATACACACTAGAGAGTTCTCCCATCTTCTTTGTCTTGTTCTTGCTTTCTTCACTTGCTTGTGAGTTTGAGAGAAGGCTGCTTAGTTCTCTAACGGAATTGAGAGAGAAGGTCGCACCACCGAGAGTAAGGCCGTGACAAGTGGTATCAAAGTCTGGGTTGGCTCGGTTCTAGCAAGGAAGAAGCAATAGCCAAACGGAAAGGAAGAGCCTCAACAAAAAGTCGGGATCAGATGGTGGCGTTACTGATGCTGAGAAGCAACGTGGAAGAGATCCCAACAACAGCTCGAGGACAAAAGGTACGTCGAGCACTCGTAATCCTTTGACGTCTCTAGAGAAGCGAGACTCTAGAATGGAGGTGAAGCTTTCCGAAGATGTCACCGCCATCGAGGATTTGGGAGCTAACTTCGCCAAAGTCCAAAGGGATGTTCAAGGAATGAATGCTCGGTTGTCGAGCTTGGAGATCGGGCATGGTGGGCTGCGAGAAGAGCTTGTGGCCCTCATCAACAACACCATCTCCGAGTCCATGAGCAATGCAATTGAAGTTGTGAAAGAGCGTGTCCAGGCTGAGCTGGTCGGCATGAAGGAGGAAATTGTAGACCTCAAGAGTGAGGTCACTCTGGTGAAGAGGGTCATGGCTAGCGGACCAACCATGGTGCAATCGGTCCCACGTGCTGACGTTCCAAGACCGAAGAACTTTGGAGGTTCAAGGAACGCGAGGGAGTTAGAGAACTTTCTTTAGAGTCTTGAATAGTATTTCAAGGAATCCGACATCCAAGAGGATGAGGTAAAACTTCGTATCACTCCACTTTAGTTGGTCGATATTACTATGGTGTGGTGGAGGCGACGTGAAGCAGATGTCGAGAAGGGTACATGTGTGATGGTAACGTGAGATGATTTCAAGAAAGAAATCAAGAGGCATTTCTATCCGAAGAACATGGAGTTTGAAGCTCGTTCAAGGTTGAGAAGACTCACCTAGAGGGGTGGAATTCGAGAATATGTGAAGGAATTCTTGGAGCTGCTTCTAGAGATCCCGGACATCACGGACAAGGAGGCCATGCACGACTTTCTTGACGGGCTGCAACCGTGGGCCAAGATGGAGATGCAACGTCGAGGCGTGCAAGACCTTGCAACAGCCATGGCCACAGCGAAGTCTTTTGTTGAGTACAAAAGGCAAGAGAGCAACAACAAAGAGAAGAGTTC